TGTGCGTAAAATTTCCCATTTTTCCCTTAATTTTTAGTTTGTTTTTCTCGATTATTTAGAAAAGTATTAAGAATTTTACACTTTTGACCCCCCAAAGTACCAACTAGATTCACTTTCTGATCGAACGAGGTACTGAAGTCAAAAATTGAAGCACTTTTACAACCCCAAAACGTGATGACAGACAAAAAAAAAAAACACATCATGGTAAAATCAATACATTCATCACTCCGCTCAGGATCTAAAACAGCGGGTAAGTGTATAATGCTGATCTGTACATATAATATGCCATATTAAGATGTGTTAAAATTGAATTCAATGATATAAAATCGTTATATACGTAACTTGATTTTGAGCACAAACTTTAATTTGAACTATTCTGGCCAGCCTATAATATTATTAAAGAGGTATATCCATGATATTATATAATACTATAAAAATACGAAAATTATTACTCTGTCTGTCTAGTATGTTTTCACGGATAAACTGCTGAGCTGATTTTGATAAAAAAATTTAAGGAGCTACTTTAAAGTAGGTACCATAAACCCTAAAGAAGAACATAGGTCACTTATTTTTGTGATTGGAAGTCGACGACCGTGTTAAAACATTTTWAATGTAGAGAGAGTAAATGATTGTATGTCGTGAGTATAATTTAAGAAAGTGCTTAAGGGGGTRGCAAAGATWGTATGGGAAATATTTTTTTCATAGTTAATTTATTTTTACTATTCATATGYTATTTGACACAATTAATGGAACTCGTTTAGCTTAAACTAACATACCAAAACTACTTAAAATAATATATACAAAAGAATCCATAGAAAATAGCTAGTAAATTGTATAAAATTATGTATAGTACCTATTCTTTATTTTATATTATATTTYATGATTCACTTATACTCATATTTTTATACTACACCGTAAATAGCTGGTAGTTTCATTCAAGTACAAATAATCATYGATTGTTATTTATTTTAGTTTTTTTCCATTATATCAGAATCTAAAACTGTTTGTATGAATTTTAGATTTTTTTAATGTCACAGAATTAAAAATTTACGCGGAACATTGCTTTAAATTTTTAATCCTTAAAACATATAAAACATTTCTACTTAATTCTATTTGTTACAAAAATATAGGTATACATTAAATAATTCCATGGTTTTAACTTTTTTTTTTCATTTCAGTTATGGCATTTSAATAATGGCAATTCTATCAAAAATGAAAATGGTAAGATCTAAACTGGATCAAATTTATACCAATAAAATTTATTTTTAAGTATTAGTTTACATAAAATTAATGTTGTACTAATAAAATGGGCGATGGAAAATATAATGGTACCAATTCTCGCATGAAGAGAACTACCTATGATGAAGATAAAGCTTTCAAAGATGAACCACCTTTAAAATCACAGCGTTTATATCAACTATTTAATGATGATCAACATTTTCAAGGTCCAGTTGATTTTCAATATGAAAATACTGAAGTTACTGAACACAATTATAAAAGAATTTCAGCTACAACTGTTTATAAGAAACTACAGGTATTAGAAATTAGGGATAAACTTTTACGTGCATCTACTACGCTGCCAATTAAAGAAGTTAATGTTGATGAAATCAAACCAATGGAAGGTACTTGTCCAGATATGTGCCCAGAAAAAGAACGTCTACTGCGTATACATGGTAATATGGTTTCACAGTTTGAATGTAAAATAATTGATACAAAATTGGAACCAGTTTATGAAATGATGGTAAAACAATATGCTAGAAGTTCTGCTGACCAAGCTAATCCATTATCTCAAGAACTGAGACCAACACCTGTACTTGTAAAGACCATGCATTATATGCTTAAAAATATAATATATCCAATTGAATCTAACATTGAACAAGATTTGGCCAGTTGGTATGATTTTTGTTGGGATCGTTTACGTGCGATACGAAAAGATATTGTTCAACAAAATTTACAGAATTCGGAAGTTGTTACAATACTTGAACAAATTGGTCGTTTTCATATTGCTTGTTATGACTTGTTGCTTGGCTATTCAGGCTTTGATATCAAGTTAAACACAGAAAACTTAAATAATTGCATTCAAATGTTGATGCCTATGTATAGAGATTCAGAACATCAATGTACAAATGAACCAGAGTTTGTGTCTTATGAGTTACTTATGCATTTAGGAAATCCACAATTTCATACAGCATATGATTTATTACCAATTCATATAAAACAATCGCCTCAAGTGAGATTCTGTATTAATGCCAACACAATCTATTTACAGTCAAGTGACTGTAAAGAGTTTTTCAATTTACTGAGAAGTACGACTTTTATGAATTGTTGTATATTACAAAGAGTTATTCCAAGTATTAGATATAATAACATAAAAATGATGAATATGTCATATACAACTGTCAAAAGAGTTTATAAGCTTGAAATGGAACATTTTATGGAAAAACTATGTTTTGACGATACACAATTGGCTCAAGAGTTTTTTTCTGATATTCAGTTACAATATGATGAACGGTATGTAGACCTTTCRCGTAATATAGACATACGCGCGCCTGAGCTTAGAAGACAAAAACAGGAATTCATTATTTCTGAAAAAAGACAAAATTTAACATACTTAATATCTGGAGTAGAAAACATGCCTGATGTCATAATCACCCCAGTTCATTCAAGCTTTGATGATTATGATCGTTTTTATGATGATGCTAACAATGAAGTAAACAACAAAGATCTACACAATGAAATATCAAATTCTCAAATGGAAGAAGACACTTATCCTTCAATAAATTCAAAAGATGATGATACAAATGATCAATTATTCTCAACTACTCCAATACAAACCCCAATTTTAGAAATACCTACTTTCACTTTTGATTTGCCCAAGTTTTCATTACCTACTCAATCTCAAAAACCACTTTCCAATTTTGAAGTACAATGGAAGCCAACCCCAAAATTAAGTATTTTCCAAGATATTATTAGCACAGACAAATCAAATCTATCATCAAATTCACATGTAACAAGCAATATAACAAGTCTTCCAGTAACAATTTCTCATGATGTATTTATGAAACCTTCATGCCAAAGTAATATGAATATAAGTCCTATTCAGACACATTCTAAAGTTAATTTAAAGGAAAAACTAGATGTTACACAATCAATAGAACATCAAACTAATCTTACCAAAAAATATTTTTGCAAATGGCAAAATTATGTTAATTGTAAGAAATCTAAGTATATTGAAGATATGTTTGCACATGGTGATCTATTTCATTCAGAGTGTATTTCATCATTGTCTTCATCTCCATCATCAATGAAGTCTCTCAGTTATGTCGATGAAGTTATCGAAATTCAAGAAGAATCAAAAGAATGGTTAAATAAACAGTATATTTTGGCAGAAAAGTATTTCTATATTTGGCTACGAAAAGTTTTACGTAGAAGAAGAAAGATTGAAATTGATCCTGTATGTAGTTTGCCATGGTCAGTATTTATGCAGGTACATGGCACACCAAAAGAGACATTACCAGTTACAATAAAAGATTTAAAGTCAAAGAAACAACTAAAAATTCCAATACATCATTCATTAAAGAGCTATTATTCTACAGAATATGATATCAGCCTTCAAATGGCTAATATATTTGTCAAAAATGTTAAAGATATGAAAAAAGATGGATCTGTTGGAAAAAAGATATTTTGGAAATTGGCAGTTAATTATGGTGATACACCAGAGCCTTATTGTATAGAAAAAAAAGTACTGACTATTATTTATGGTAAATTAGGATTTAGTAACAATCAAATACAAACTATACATACTGATTGTAACTCATTTTTCATAAAAACAGTACATAGTTGTATTGGGCAATTCAACTGGACAAACAACGGTTTGAACGCAGCTCTTATTTTCACAAATACGGATAAAGAAAATGTTGAGACGTTATTTAAACGCGTTGATTCAATTTTGCAGTCAACTCCGACAGCAATTCCTTTAGTTATGATATTTTCTTCAAGGTCGAATGAAGATAGTATGAAACATTACGAATATGTTTTAGATGGGTACAAAGAAAATGAATATATTAATAATTACTCTGTTTACATGTGGGATGGACCAAAAACCATTTTAGAATCCATTGAATTTTTTTCTAAAAATTATGTAGACTTTACTCCTGGTACGCGTACAGAAAAATTATATTACAATTTACTCAATTTTTCTCAACATTTCTTTGTAAAAGTACGTAGTATATTAGCTGATGATAATCCAAACACTATTATCAAAAAATACAATCAATGCTTGGATGCTTACATTAAACGTTTGGGTAGAAGTAATCAAATATTAACAGATTTGGCACCCGACTTGGTTCCATATTACACCCAAAATCCTGATGAGTTTTCGAAACAACATTCAAACTTGAATCTGAAATATTTTGAAGATTTACTGAATAATGCACACCTATTGTCATTTGAATCATGGCCACCTAATAATGTYGATGATTTAATTGATTATGTCAAAAATATGTGTAGACTTTCAAACCGTAGATCTTGGTGTTTAGACATATTGCAAATGCTTCAGTTACATAGAAAAGCCGATTTGGAATACTGTTTATTGAATGCCAGTTGGTATGAACCAATCGAAATGTGGATTGAAGGTACATTAGAAAAGGTTTCTACTGCACAGAATGATTTCACCGTATTTTACAATGGTGACCCAATCAAGGATGTACTGAATATGATATTTCCAGACTGACAATAAATATATTCAGCTTTTATTAGTTAAAAATGACCTAAACTATTGTGAATTCATAATTTTCCATAACATATATCATATGCTTCTATATTAGCTGGTCTTAACTATTAATATTTTCAATATTAGATGTATATTTTTAAATATAATTGTTGGAGAAGCTAATTTAAATTGTTTTCACTATGTTAAGTTGACAAAGGATATTTTTGCTTAAATATAGACTTTAAATTTATTCTTATTTAAGTCCAACTTTAAAATTGTGTTTCCTTATAGCTAGAAATTATGACAATTACAATTAATTCATATCCTTAGTCAGTGGTTCTCAAGCTTTTTTGGTTCACAGCACATTATATTACATCACAAGTTTTTGCGACACTCAATACTAGTGTAATGAAATAAATTACTGTTTTTAATATTTTTTTACCAGCATAATTACAAATATCAGAAACTTCTCACGGCAGTCGATCTCTCAGCTCAGTATTGTGCCGCGACACACCGGTTGAGAACCACTGTCCTAAGTGTTGGGTAGCTTAGTATATAATAACTACCAATTGTTCAGGGTCGGGAAGTATCAAAGATATAATTGTAACTTGTATCATGATTTATCTTTTTAAAGTATCAAGTGTTATGAATCGTAAAATTTAATTTTGACTCGATGAATTTAATAAATGTAACAATGTTACATTAATATATTAATTAATAAACAATACATAGTTTTTTTTACATATCAAATTACAATAAATAACTGTTAGGAAATATATTAACATTTTTAAAATAATACAAAATGTTTTATTTTTATTGTTTGACTGACATGAAATAGGCATTTAACTAAATGTCTAGGCAGATAGTGAAATTGCATAAAAATTAAAATTTTTGACTATATGCCTATGACATATATATATATATGAATAAATGTAATAAAGTTAATTAATCAGCTATCATCAACCAAATGACCGAAGTGATCTATAGACGTCATACTATTTATATTGACATCAGCTAGCGGATTACTATTTTTTTTTTATATACCCCAACGTTGTTAGTGGTAGTAACTTGTACATAATATAATATAGAAATAAATAGGTACTTTATAAAATTTAAGGTTTAATATTTAATTATTCTAGTAGTCATTAGTACAAGAATCTTAAGTAATTGGTTTATACCAGTGGTTCTCAACGGGGGTGATATCGCCCCCCTGTGAGCGGTGAAGTGTCATTGGGGGGGGGGCATTGAACTGGTTTTGAGGATATGGGGAGGGGGGCCTGAACTAGTTTTGAGTGGTAGAGGGGCGGCAAACATGTTCATGCAAAAATGTTGTACATGGTGCTACCTAAAAATAATTCATACTTGATAATCCACATATAACTATCAGTTACTGATAGGTACTATATGAGCAATGCACAATAACTTATCTTTCATTGTTGACAAATTTATTATCTTACGAATTACGACTTATGTTAACAAGTGTCTAACCTAATGTCRAAAAACTTGCTAAAAACCACAAAGTTCAACCATCTCACTGAAATTGTGTCTACAAAAACAATAAAAGCAGTATAAAATAAAATTGATAAATTATTAAGTTTTTTTCAAATGTTTAATTTATTTAATTTACTAGTACTATAATTAAAAAAATATGAAAAATAAAAGATTAATTATTAGATAATTATTCAAATTTTTTTTCAAATTTTCCAAATCATCTACTTCCTTCTTATTCCTCAGCCCATACCATTAATTATAGAATTTTCATATAGGGGGGGGGCATTAAAGAATTGATTCCTACCAAAGGGGTGGTAACATAAAAAAGGTTGAGAAACACTGGTTTATACCTTTTAAATGTGAGCCCCCTTCTGCGGACAAAGTCTCCACATGTCTATGACTCCTATCTACTCTTACAGTCATACAAGTAATGATTAAACTGGAATTTGTGTTCATATAAAATATAAAATAAAATAAAGAGTGGACTCATARAGAATTATGAATTATGAGTTTATTATTTGAATGATGTAATTTATAAATGTAGTGATGTATTAGATATAAATTTATAATGTGTATTGAATTTTTGTATTATTCAATATTTATGTCTTTATAAGTATTTATGTATTGACAGTATACCTAGTTAATTGTTAATAAAATTCAATAAATTGGAAATATTAAATATCATTGTATCATGTAACTTGTATCTTGTATATTTTCTACATTCTTAATGTATTTTGAGCCTTATATCTAGGTACATTAAATGCATGTATTATATATCATGTTTAATTGATTTGTACTTACAATAATTTTATAGTTACTAATAACTTAACAAGACTTATTATAGTTATAACCTTTTTTACTTGTATACCATTTATCATTTAATATAACTTTAATCATTGGTATTTTTGTTGTTAAAATTGTATGTTTTGCTTATATTGATATGTAYGCATATCATACTATTGAATATATAAATTTATCAAAATGGGGGAAGGATACAATGGAATGGCATCCCTCCACATTTATAATTCACAGTTTTCATTGCTCCAGTTATTTATTTTGTTGAAAATAATGCATCTCCCTTAATATATATATCTTCTTCTTCTTCTTCTTGGTTTTTAAAGGCCATTAATAATAGAATTATTATCATAGTTAAGTTATAGGTGCATAAATGTGTTTCATAATACTATGAATTTGAAGCAATAATTTTTATTTTGCATTTTCCAATTAAAACTATATTTTTCTACATTAGTATTTGAAGTGCATTTTTTACACATTACTTTTACAATATTTAATGTAAATTTTTAAAAAACGGAAAAAATATTCATAACATTTTAGTTATTTTAGTCACATACTGATTTGTTTATTTGAGCAACAGTTTAATAAGTAATAATTAAATCATAAACACAATATCCATTTGTTGAAATTTTCGTTTTGTTTAAAGACAAGCTTAAAAGTATAAAAAATAAAAAATAAAAATAAATACATATTAAATTAATTTTTAATTTTTTGGTACCATACAACATCATGGTAAATGTTGGTGTATATGTCATGCATTCATTTTTAAGGTTTTTATTTTAAGCCATCAACCACTGTATAAATATTTATTCATCATTATATTATGTATATATTATAACAGGATTAGCAAACCTGAATCAAACCCCAACATTTCGTAATCAGTTTTTAAAAATTATGAGTGCAAAAAAAATTCACCAATATATTTTGTACAGTGTTTAATTTGTTAATTTCAATGTTTTATTAAAATAATATTAAGCAACATTAGCTTATATTGAGAATATTGAGTGTAACA